TTTAATAACCAGTGACTAAAAAAAGGAGAAAAAGAAAGAACTCTTGGTTTCTTATAATGAACACATTCCCTAAAGTCAATATAAATGCACATCTTGAAACATGTCTCTTCACATTTTCAAAATATTTCATTCACTAGGTGTGGATAAGTTTTGTTAAGCCCGTATTGAGTGATAACAGTTTAAACTTGAAAAATAAAACCAGAACTTTAGAAGCAGAAGATTGCACAGTTTGGAAACTGTCGTAGTCCTGTACCTATATAACTAACACTTTCACCGAAATTTCGTGCAGTAGATTTGTCAAAAGTGGCTGCTGATCGGGACAAATTAGTAGCGCTGATAAATTATAGCAATCTACAAAATAAATTTTATAAATTGATTAAAACAGTTGTAGCCGATTATTTGTTATTAACAAAGGTGTCATGTATTTTTGGGTTGCTAATGGTTGTTCTTCCACAAGCAAGAACAACACACTACAAAGGCCAGTCATTTTATTATTTTCTCAGCGGTGGCTCAACGATAAATTTGAAGTTTATAACGCTAAAAATTGGGTTTCGATACTCGCGGTTGCCAACCGTGTAGTTTTGTGCATAACAACAAACAAATGAAATCTTCTCAGCGATAAACATGCGCATTAAGCCAATTAATACTGATTCTCTCTCATACACCAGTTCCAAGTGTCTCAAACGGTCTGTTATCAAAAGTTGTGGTGCCCATCAAGAAACGCCATGTCTTTTTTGTGTTTATTTTTAAGCATTGTCACAATAGAAAGAAAAACCTACAGTTAAGTATTATGTGAAACACGTAAAGTCTAAGAGGTGTTGCTAACTTCTAAAGACAGTGATAAAATGTGCTACACATTACGACGTATGGCGTTTTTGTGGCGAGATACTGTGAGATGCTTTCAAGATATCATACAAAGCAGTAGTTTTATAGACAAAATAAAGAAAAGGAGAATAAGATACAAAGTACTGTATGATTTTCTGTTTACATAGTTTGTCATTATACATAAATTATTCATGCTCATCACTCTTCTTCAAAATTAAAAATGGCAAATGTTTTATTCTGAGCATTATGCACTTCTAGAACAGGTCTGTAAAACTTCATTCCCCAAGTCTGCCTGCCTTTGAAAAATAATGGTTGAAACACTATTTATGTTATCAAACTGAATGAACCACAACTACTATGGTGTTAACTAGAGTAAGCTAGTGAAGTATTTAATTTTAATTTGTCTTTTACAAATCAGAATTAGGGTAAAAATTAATAAGATATTATTGTTTATTTTATTTATTTTACCCCGAATTACTTATTATCACTTATTTTTACTTTTAATTAACTTTGTTTGTCTGTGTTTTCTTCAAGAGAAGCTTTTTTAAAATATTGAAGTGACACTTTATACCTTTATATGGGATTTGTTGAATGGACATCTCACATTACAAAATATTCCTTGAATTATATTTCTTAGATTGCATGAGTCACTTTAAGTTATTTATTTGCATATATTGATTAGCCACATAATAATGTTTGGAATGTGATTTTAGATTTTATTTAAATATTTGTGAATATATATAGAAACACTTAATCTCCACTGTTTTTAACAAATCGGGTTTCTATTATGAGCATCCAAATCGTTAATAAATTGGCGAAATTTAAAACAAAACATCTAGAGCCTTTTGCATTGGGATTAGCCTAGTTTCTCTAAAAAAAGAACGATTTAGAAATGCAAATTCAAATACTTTCTATTGACGATTAAACCACAATAATATTTTAATGTCACCTATCCAAACTAGTTTTTGTTTCTTCTCCATAGAAAAACAAAACAAACAGTACAATTGTTCTATGGTTTACATTAAAGATGGATTAAGCGTATCTTGCACGTAATGTTAAAAAACGTTTTTAAACGCCATATAATATTCTGTTAAACGAAAAAGAAATGATCAATTTTTAAAGTTGTAAAACTGAATGTGTAATTATTAATAACTTCTAATCAAAAGTAAGCTTTGTAGATAAGAACTAAAACATAACCTATACATTAATGAGGCCAGTTCTATGAAACAAACTGATAAGCAGAGCATGATGTCATAAATCAGTAAACAAGAAAATTAAAATCTCTAAACATTAGAACAGGGAAAAAACTGACAAAATATGTTGTTGTTGTTACGCGGAAATGGAAACTAATTAACTTTGAAATAAATTAAAGTATCATTGCATGAGAAATTATGTTGAATTATTATACCAACTGCCTGTCAACTCTGGTCATAGTTTCTTTCAAGATGACACACTCTTCATTATTGAAACTTACTTAATCTTCACTGTTTTTGACAAATGAGGTTTCAATTATAAGCATATACATTACTAATAAAATCAACATTGTATTAGGCATAATCATTTGTTTGTTTCATTTTTGTTACCATTATGCTGGAGGAAAACACTTATTCTTATTATAACAGTTCAAAAGAAATGTGGCAGTTTTTATCAGGAGAGAAGTTTTTTTGATAAACTTCATCTTTTACGTCTATTTATTGTGCTGTAAAGTCCAGAGTATTGTGCATATATTTCGTGTCTTTGGTGGGATATTACATTACATTAACACATTTTAGCATTGTGATCTATAAGTATATCACTGTTCTATTATTGTAACCAAAAACATCTCACTGTTCTGTTATTGTAATCAATAATATCTCACCGTTATGTTATTGTAACCAAAAACATCTCACTGTTCTATTATTGTAATCAATAATATCTCACCGTTATGTTATTGTAACCAAAAATATGTCACTGTTCTATTATTGTAACCAAAAATATCTCACTGTTCTATTATTGTAATCAATAACATCTCACTGTTCTATTATTGTAACCAATAACACCACGCTGTTCTATTCTATAGGGTGTAGTACAAAATTTGAAGGGTTGATAACGTGTGTAACTGAGAACAAACGGTAGTGTCTTCTTCTTCTGTAAGACGTGTCATAACTGCGGGTGTTTAATCATACAGCATCCATAGTTGAAAGAAATAATTTCAAAATTTTTCGTGATGCTCTAAAAGCCTACACGGATATGATTAATACATTTCTAATTTGTTAAAATATTTCTTTTTATTTTTTATGCAACATTTCTCAGCCTACAACTTTACATTGAACGTGATATATACAAATATCAGTTATATACATTGTTGTGATGTACCCTTTGAGTGTGGAGCACGTGACTGCATGTCTGTCTTGATGTTACCAGGTGGAAATTCTGAGATTTCATTGACTTTGAAGTTTCTCTTGCCATTAGATACGGCTACAGCTGAAACAAACATGGAGTAGCTGACTTGGTATTATTTTACATGTCTAACAAAGTAACGTTTGGTGATTTTACATTTATTAATAAATATGAACTTTCAACTGATAATGCACCGTGTTTGGATAATCGACCAAATATTTTTAAACGTTTAACACTGCGGGAATTTAATGTAACTTGGATGATAGTAACTGTTATTAACATAAGTGAAGCAAAACATTACAGGCTCACTTGTAACGTTTAATATTCATAGTTAAATATCAAGTTTTGAACTAAAATATAAAACAAGAGTTTGTTTATCATTTACCTTTAAAATATTACCATTACCATCTATACATTGGTCAGTCATTTTACAACAAAACCTTTAGAATATATATATATATTTATAGGGTTATTTCTGATTTTGCTAAAACCTAAAAAATCAATATTCTCTGGTGTAAGAGTTGTGTTTTGTTTGTTATTGTTAAGTACAAACCTATACTATGGGTTAACTGTGCTGTGTTCACCGCGTGTATCGAAACCCGATTTTTAGCATAAGCTCCCTAGACTCATCACTGAGCCACGTCTCCTACATGAGAATGAAAACCATTGTGCATGTAATTAGTATAGTGTCTGTGACCACAGTAATGTCATTCTGAATAAACTTTAATATCGTACTCTTAATGATAGGTTTTATGTAATATCCTTATAAGATCGTTTATAAATGCTTAAATACTTTAAAACTTTGCTTCTAAAAACTTACAAGTATACTGATTTTTAGCTTATGAAAAAAAAAGAAATATTCGGATTAAGTTTTCCCTGGTTTGCAATTTCTTATATAATTTTCAAACATGGTAAACATTGTAAAACTCGAATTGCTTATAGACTGCTGTCTTGGTTTTTATGGTGGACACCATATGGTATATGAAGGCCGTTCATTTAAGAGCTGAGACTGAAGAAGTCCAAAAGGAAGTCCAGTCCTAAAAAATTGTAATAATTTTATCAGATATTAAAATCGAAGAGTCATTCTCATGAACATAACTTTTATCTATTCGTACACAACTCGTTTATATTTACTTATATAAACGTTTATCACAAATCAAAAGCCCTTCATGTTCCCTATGCCTTGTTTTAATATTTACATAATACACAACAGCTTTTACAATATTTTCATAAACATTAATATGTGAAATAATAATGCTACTATGAAATAATAAATGACTAAAGATTTTCCACCAAAGTGGGAGCTTGACGAAAACTCCTGGCATAAAACATACACAAACCTATATCTCTATACGGAGTTAATATGGCATTCAAACATCTTCGTACTACAAAAATACTGTGATTTGAGGTTTATTTTTGTTTATGTCTTATCCTTTTTTCACACTCTTTCTAGTAACAATATCAACTTTGTTTCATTCACAATGCTAATAAAATCATACCTGTATAATACTCTAAATCTGCTTAATTTTCTCTCGTTTTTGTCTTAAACACTTGGAGTTTACATTAGAGAGGTCACAAAATAAATTGGTTAAAACACATTGAGAAAGGTGAAAAAACGTGATGATGCATTTTTTATAATGAATAAATAAAAACGATAGAAAAAAAATCAATAAAACAATGAATGAATACCATTTTCCATAAACAAAACGCTTTTGCAAACAAATTTCTTCCAAAATGTTTTTGGAAATTTATATGAATACAACAGAAAGCATTACTAAATCATTTAAAGTTGGGTTAGATATCTTAAATTTAAGAAGAAAAAAAAGAGAATTACAAGGAAAAAAAAGGGGGATTTTTCAGTCGTCAATACCGCATGGATGAATATTGTAGACAAAAAAGACTACTCAAATGATACACAGTTTATGTTGCCACCGAAACGGGGGTATTCACATTGGAAACTTTAAAGTTGATGCTATTACGTAAGGCAACAAGTTGTTCTTCTCCCAGTTTTATTTTTTCGTCAATCTCACGAGTGTCTATTAAGAGCTTTGATTTCATCTTGATGAAGTGTTCATAGTCCGCATATTCGTCACCAGAGAGATACTGTAGAAGGAACTTTGCTACTTGTTCACTACGCTTGTTAATACTGTCTTTCAACCACCAAGCTTCCTGATATTGGCAGCTAAGCTTGTCACATTTGGCTTGTAACACACGCTAGAAGTCAGAAAAAGAGGATTATATAATACACTTAATTTAGTCTTAACTCTTTTTATTTTAATGTAGTACTGAGCAACTTTAGTAGGGCGGTCATAATTAGTTTTACTTCCAGTTTGTTTAAGTTCCTACTATAGTTAATGTAAGCTGTATAACTGTTACTTATACAGCCAAACATTACGTCATTAGTTTAGTTACGTTAGTTTCTGGTAATTAATTCATTTGTTGTATTTCCCATTGCTGTTACTTTTTATCTATTTGTATTTATGGCAAAGCTTCTGAGACTATGTGTTAACGTTCCTAATTCTGAATTACTGACGTTAGGGAAGGCAGTCAGTCAGCAGCACCGTCAATGATAAGGTACTGCCTGTCACTCTTATAACGTGCCCAAAACTTATACCACAGGGCTATTCCATGCCCTTATTCCTAAAGTCTTATTATTACTGTGACTTTTCTTGTATCTTATCACCGCTTATACATATTAGTGTTTAACTTTATTTGTTATTTCCGGCAAACATAGAGTCAAATTAGTTGTGTTAAAAACACTTCATAATATGTTTAGTAAGATAATATTTTGCGTTGCACTTAATTTGGTTATTTTCATTAGTGCATTAATATTTTGATTACTTATTACACGATTTTATTATATTTATAAACATTAGTTATTATCTGTACCGTCTAACCACTCGATTCAGTAAGATGTGCCGTAATTATCTATCACAAATGTTAAAGCTATACTATAGTGACGCTGTCAGAGCCTTTACTGGGCTTTCATGGGCCAACAATTGATTAAGGGGGTATTTAATATAGTTTTCAGTGTACTAGTGTTACGCTTTTCAAGAGTGCCCTGGAGATTAGCGTGTCCCATTAAGGCAAAAACGCACTTCGCACATTGAGATAGTGGGTGCATTATAAGAGTAACGATCAAATCCCAATATTCTGTCAGATAAGAGTTGGCTATGGGTGTTGTTAAACAGCTGCCTTTACTTTACTCTATCAGTTCAAAATGCAGGACGGCTACGCGCAGGTAGCCATTGTATGGTGACATTGTGCGAAAAATCTGAAACAAACAAATAAGTTTTTCAAGAAACGTGGAATTGGTAAAAGTGTATGAATCAAATAACTAGTTATATGCTATCCTTTATTCACTGTTACTTTAATTTATTCTTTCCCTGTCATATTACGTCCTCCTCTAGACTTGCAGTGCTTCTCAACTAGGTGAATGGTTCACCCAAGGGTTAATGAGATCAGAATCAGGGTGAATGAGTATTATCAATAATACAACAAATTCATGAGCAAAAAGTCATTAATTATTATTTACTAGCGTATAGCCCGTCAAAAGTAACAGGGCAAGTACTATCACCCCCATCCCATAGTATACCATAACCTCACATTTCATAGCTAACTGAAATAAATACATTTTGCGAAATCAAGCTTGACCAACAAAAGAGGCAGAAGAGTGCAGTCGAGGCAGTCAAACGTCAATAGATTCCTTTGTGAGCCAATTAAAATTAAGATCATTCATGAAATGAATTCGTGGCATATTCATAGAATAATTATTGGTAAAAATCAGTTGGATTAACAACTTCTAATACATTGAAAAGCCAGTGCGTTTTGGTAACACTACGTTCCAACACTAATTTTTATGTAATATTGCTAAACAACAAAAGTATAACCTAATATGTATTTAAAGTATAAAATGAAATGCACTGAAAAATATTTGTTGATTTTTTAATTTAGAATCTCCGTTGATTAAAGAGGTTTAATTTTTTTTATTGAAAACGTTGATGGCATAACAGAAAACGGCTTAATTCAGAAACGATTTAACTTTAACATTGAATAGATATTGTTTACTTTCATGATAAATTTTATGCACTTGGCTCTAGGCTAAGTGATCCCACATTAGGCCTTTACTTTAGGCTTATTATACCAACACTCACTACACTCATAAGGTTTCAAGGCACCCTCCCTCACGCTCCCTTTTCTTCCCCGTTACTAAAATCATAATGGACAGACAGTAATCGAACTATTCTATCTAGATAAATGCATTTTGGTTTCTATGACTCTTCCTATATCGAGAAATCAAGCGTGACGTGACACACACTGAATTTTATATACTTTAGATTCT